TTCCCTCCACAAGAGGTTATTACTAGGAAAAAAAAAAAACAAAAACAAGAACACCAAAACCAAACAAATAAACAATGAAAAAGGGAAAACTACAATTCAGGCTCAATAATTAGAGAAAGCACCAGGACAGAAAGAATAAACCCCTACCCCTGAGGGCAGCCAGGGAGAACAGAGTGCATCTGAATCCCCTGGCTGCAATTTGTGCTGTTCATGTGTTCTCAGACTCAGTTTGTGCTTTTGGTGTTCACTTTGGGACAACTAGAGACACTTTCAAAAGTCATGGATTTCTTCCCTGATAAATTCAAGCCTCTTTAGGCCTTGTCACCTTGGAGATGATGCTGTTTCACCTACAGGTTTTTGTGCATTTTCCCTCTTTCATTCTTTATGTGGATGGAAGGATTTTTTAAACATCTGTATAATCTTGTTAAGATCATTTGGGCTACTAAGGTGCTTTAAGTCATGAAATCAAATCTTTCCAGGCTTTCAGTCAGAGATTTTTGGAGCGTGGCATACAGGAAGTGCTGAAAGTGAATAGTGGCAAAGAATTAGGAGTTGCCATTTCACAGAAACAAATAAATCCAGACCTATTATATCAGAAAAATAAATATAAACTACAGAGAATTAATTGTTAACACAGAAATCTTTCAACATCTAATATATGTTGGTACAGAATTTTCTGCACAAATTTAGAAAACAAAAATTGATTATGCTTTCACGTTTTTGACTTCATGTGAGTACTCTAAATAAAGTTTTAAAAGGGTAAAAAGCAAAAAGTAAAATGTGTTATTCTCAGATTCTTACTTCTTCTTAATTTTTCCCTTTTTAAGAAAAAAGAGAACAAACCTTGATACAATAAAATCAAAAAATGCAGATAGAACTTATTTTCCATGTCCATATGCCATCATTTCTGTTTTAGAAAGAAATACCTGGAGGTATTTTTTAATCAGCATTTCTAGTGAGACATTAACACACATTTCAGGTTGTTAACACTAAAAATGAAATGTGTTACTTTTAAAATAAAAAGAGGCACTACATTTCTATATACTCAGATGTTCTGAAATAATTCTCAATAAAATAAAACACCAATCTAGGAAGAAAGTGTGGGACACATAATTTTCCCATATTTTTGGAACTTCCCTAATAACTGGAATTTCCCATAGGAATAGTTAGGCTGCCTGTAGTAATTAACTTTGTAGAAGAAAACCAGCTTAGCAGATTTAAATTCTGGGAAAGCCAAGTCAAGAGCCAGGATTAGTTTGGCAAAGAGACAGGAGAGTCTCTGTGATTCAGATCAGGGAAATGAAAAGGCCAGTGAGTGCTGGAGGTTATCAGGATGACTGGATATTTAAGGAAAAAAAATTGACAGTGAAGTTGTCAAAAGGTGGATTTGCAGTGGGGGAGAAAAATAAAAATTTGCACCACTTTGTGTCTTGCCACCAAGCCTCACACTGCTCATCACTGACTGGAAGAGGATAGATGACAGAGCTGGGAGTGCCTGGGAGAGGGGAGGATGTGATTGACTGCTGAATTTTGGATTAGTTCATTTAGCACAGGATTTAAATAAATTTCTTGCTGCTTAATTCACCGAGGAAGGGATGTTTGAAAGAAGCTGGTCAGAACTGAAAGAAGGAAACAAAGGTGAGCAAAGTGTGGCAGGTAAAACCATGAGCCAGGCACCCTCTTCCAAACCACTTGATCAGGACTGACCTAGTCCTGGCTGATAATCTGGATAGAATTACACCTCTTTATGTGTGAGTGGGTCTGACATGATCCCCACAGGACACTCGGTAGATGAGGAATAAGGCAGTTATATGAAGAAATTAAACATAAAATATTTCTTCTTACAGTTTGAAGCGTGCCTACAGACTTGCCTGCTTTGGGGGAATGTAGGGTCAAAAGTGGAGGCTGGGTTAGAGAATGAAAGGAGCATTACATTACTGCTAGCAGAAGGTGTCAATCAGTGTGATTAAAAAAAAATTAGAAAGATAAGATAATGAAATCTCATGGTTCAGTAGGAAAGTTCCCTATGGGACTTCGGGAATGGCTCTTCTGCCAAGCTCTCTGTTATTATGCTATTGGTTAGATAGATCATACATCTCCCTCCAATACTCCTGAAATATTAGCTCTAGATGATGCCTCAGATTTAGCTTTTACATTTTTCAGGTTCTGTGCTGCTTTAGTGTGTGGGTCTGGACTTCATATTAAGGGATGGTGAGCTCTCTTGACAGAGTAGGGAGACAAAACAATTCCTTCTCCAGCTGGGGACAAAGGACAAATGATCCAAATCTCAGGTCCAGGAGCACAAACAATGTGAGCTGGAGAGAGAAAAACAAGCAGGATGGGACTGCCTGGGCTGGAGCTGGAATGGGACAATGAACCCCAAGGTGCAAATGGAGCAGAACTGATCCCAGGGAGAGCCCCCAGGAGCACTCGTGCATTTTGAAACCATTTTGGTTCATCTTGGGTGCAGCCCTGGCTGGGCTCTGGTGCTGCCCAAGGTGGATCCATGGAGGAGATCCTTTTAATAAATCCCTGCTTTATTCTGTAGCTCTGTCCAGCCTCTGCTCTAGGGCAGCCGTCCCAAGGCATCACAGATCCAAGGAAAGATGGGTTATTAGTATTATTTAAAGTATTTACTGCACTGTGAAGGCACATATAGAAAGAAAGCTTTAATTCCTCTTCCCTCTCATATCAAGAATTTATTTTTGACTTGGAACCAAAACTGAGCATATTTATTGGATATCATATAAAAATGAGGAAGTCTTATGAGGAATTAGATTTTTGTAATGGCAAAGAGCACACCCTGAGAGCTCTGAGAGCTGTGGCAGTCAGCCTGCAAAGCTCTGTAAGGAATGATTGTTTTATACGCTTTGGGCAGGGACTCCTCGTCTGTAACCCTTCATTGATCTGCACAGATTTCATTTTACACTCACACACAAAAAAGGTTTGTATCATGTGTGTAAACCCCAAGTAGAGGGATTTGCATCAGATGCTTTGCCTTCTTTAAAGCTCCTATAGACCCCCAGAAATGTATATAAAATATCTACTATACAACACGTCCCAAGGGTCAGCACTAATAATTGTTAAGGTTTGGCACCACTGTGCTGCTGTTTTTGAAATATTGTTTTAGAGTATGATATTCTGGGAGTGCAAAAACTCAAAAAAAAAAAAAATCTAACAAGAACTCAAATAAAAGTGCAATACAAGAGCTGTTAAAGAAACCAGAGGCCAAAGCTATTTCAGGATTTGCCTTGTGGGAATGAGTAGATACAACTAGCACTGAATGCTTCAAATTTTGAGAGAACCTGAAGTTTGTGACCTGTACAAATGTGATATCCCCATGTTACAAGTGATATGTTACATTTCATGAAGGTGCATGCAACTAATAAGAACAATAGTCATTAATACTGCATCACTAAAACATTAATACTGTATCTGCTCAGTTTCTTCTGGGCTTGAGGAAAACAATGATTATCCCATGGTGTTTGCAACCTGCTCTTAGATGGCAGACCCAATTTTCCTGAGGAATCATGAGGGCATTCCATGAATGGGATTTTATTCTGTAGTTTAAAAGCAACATGCTGCACTGAGAAATGGGAAAAGAGGCTGATATTTGTGGAAGTAACTATATTTTAAGTTGTCATAGATTTAATAAGAAGGTGTAGCATTTCTGAGCTGTAAAACTATTGCTATTACATCATTTAAATTTGGTTGCTGTGCCCCCCCTCCTGTTGTTCACTCAACTAGGTAATTTTTATTTCTGTAAAATTACTACTCAAGGAAAGTCCTGCTATGTTCCAACAGGAGTTTTGCTGTAGAGAAGGATGCACTCCTTGACAAGGAGTGTGCATGAGTATGTTTTTTTTACTCTTATTTATTCTTTCCACAGCAAATAAGGAGGATTAAGGGTGCATATCTTGAATGATGGATGATAATTCTAAGCACTGCAACTAAATCTTTTGACCGCCTGACTTAAAAGTACTTATTATCCTCATCAGCTTCCCTCATATCAATACTGCCATGCTGTTATGTCTGTCTAACACACTGAGATAGTCTGGAGCAGGCAAAGTCCAGCTTAGCCAAAAAAAA